ACAATGGTGTTCCCCTCTGCCACTTTCTGCCACTGGGGCCTGCACGGTCTGTCTCACTGCTTCGCTCCTTCACCAGTTTATCTACAATAAAATGTGTGACTGTGGTCAGCCCTCAGTGGGTCCACCGCCTTGTGCCCTCAGTGGGTCCGCCCACCACTCCACACCTGGGATCCACCTACAGCTGCTGGCACACCTGGGTTGCACGCCTGGGTTGGTCCGGTGGATCTTTCCTGCCCAACCCCGCTCTGCTGCTGGCTCTGCCCCTCTTACCGGTTTGGCTGAAGGGTTCGTTGTTGTCAGACTTCCGTGTAGTTCAATTTTCTGTGGTTTGGCTGTGTTTTTGTTGCTAAAACTTTGTTGTTTTTAAACTTGGTTGTGTGAGAAGGCGTAGTGCTCCCACCTATGCTTCCATCTTGGCGGAATTCCTCTATTTATACTTCTTATACCATATACCTTTCCCCATTCTTAGTACTTCTCCTCCCTGCTGATTACCCCTTCATGTGATATCCATTTCTGTGATTCTATTGCTGTTTTAGTAGTTTGCTTAGTCTTTTAAAACTTTCAACTGTTGATAGCTGTGAGTTTGTTGTCATTTTACTGTTCATGGTTTTGACCTTCTTTGGTTTATTTTGTTTTTTATATTAAGCATAGCTGTTCATGGTGTAAGGGCAGAACTTTATGTATTCTCCAGTTTGGGGCAATCCACACAGCTGCATTGTGGAGTATACATGGGAGAAGAAACAGAGAGGCAACAATGGTGTTTCCTTGGCTCTCTCCATGCTTACAGATACAGGCAGTTTCTCCCACTGGTAGAGCCTCAACAGATTTCTACAGCCAAAGCTTCTGAATGTTTATTTTGCCCACTATGGAACCCTGGGTTGTGCAGGCTTTGTTGCTCCCCAGTTGTTACTCGCATTTTATCAACAAGCCAATGTGGGACTGCCTGGTCTTCCAGTGGTCATCTTGCTATGGATGTTCTCTTCCCTGGCTACCCATCTCTGCTACTCCCACCAGTCTAGTTGATTGTTGCTTCATTAACTCCTTGGTTGTCAGGCTTCCATTCAGTTCCATTTTCTGGTAGTTCTGGTTGATTTTTTAAAATTGATTATGCAATTACAGTTGTTCTATTCCCCCCTTCATTCCCCTCCACCCTACCCCCCATCCCCACCATTACCCCCCCTTTAGTTTATGACCATGTGTCTCAAGTTTTTTAGATTCTATATTTCCCATACTATTCTTGCCCCTCCCATCAATTTTCTATCTATTGTCTATGCTACTTATTTTCTGTACCTTCTCCCCCCTTCTCCTCCTCCCACTCCCCTGTTGCTAACCCTCCTTGAGATCTTCATTTCTAGGTTTCCACTCCTGATCTAGCTGTCCTTTTAGTTTGCTTTTGTTTTAGGTGTGGTTGTTAATAACTGTGAGTTTGCTGTCCTTTCACTGTTCATGTTTCTTTAACTTCTTTTTCTTCGATAAGTCCCCTTAACATTTCATATAATAAGGTCTTGGTGATGATGAACTCCTTGAATTTGATCTTATTTGAGAAGCACTTTATCTGTCCTTCATTCTAAATGAAAGTTTTGCTGGATAGAGCAATCTTGGTTGTAGGTCTTTGGATTTCATGATTTGGAATACCTCTTTCCAGCCCCTTCTTGCCTGTAAGGTCTCTTTTGAGAAATCCACTGACAGTCTGATAGCCACTCCTTTGTAGGTGACTGTCCCCTTATCTCTTGCTGCTTCTAGGATTCTCTCTTTCATTTTAATCTTGGCTAATGTAATGATGATGTGCCTTGGTGTATTTCTTCTTGGGTCCAGCTTCTTTGGGACTCTCTGAGCTTCCTGGATTTCCTGGAAGTCTATTTCCTTTGCCAGATTGAAGAAATTCTCCTTTATTACTTGTTCAAATAAGTGTTTCACTGGTGGCTGTGTCTTTCCCCCTTCTGGTACCCCTATAATTCAGATGTTGGAGCATTTAAAGATGTCCTGGAGGTTCCTAAGACTCTCCTCATTTCTTTGAATTCTTGCTTCTTGACTCTTTTCTGTTTGGCCATTATTTGCTTTCTTCTGGTCCACTCCATTGATCTCAGTCCCAGTTTCCTTTTCACTGCTATTGGTTTCCTGTGCAATACCATTCATTTCAATTAGTTTTGACTTCATATGTTTGTCTAATTTGTGGCTATAATCAACCAGTTCTGTGAGGATCCTGATCACCAGTGTTTTAAACTGTGCATCTGAGAGTTTTGCTATTTCTTCATCACTTAGATTTATAGGCTCTGGGGCTTTGAGATCTTCTTGAGCCATTTTTGGTCTGTTCTCGCCTGTTAAGTATGAGGAGCAGAGCCTTGGACTCCCAGGTCTCTGGGTTGTGATGCTTATGTGGGAGCGTGGTCAGAGCAGGAAAATGGTGACCCCCTCAGCTTTTTTGCGCCATCAGGTGAGGAGCAGAGCCTTAGGTGGTTCACCGGGGTGGGGCCACTCTGGTCGCTTGGTTATGACGCTGTATGTGGAGGCGGGGTCAGAGCGGGGAAATGGTGGCACCCTCTGATGCTGCTGGCTGTGGGGCCTGCTCAGTCCCGTACTCTCACCTTCCACTCCCTGGCTTGTCTATCTGTGCATGAATTCGCGACCACAGTCAACCTGCAGCCTTGCTCCCTTGCTGTTTCCCTGCGGTTGCTCACTGAGTCGCTTACTAGATCCAATCCTGCTCCTTGGTCCATCTGACCGAGTTTTCCTGCGCAACCCTGCTCCGACAGCTGCTGGTTTCACCCCTCTTACCGGTCAGGCTGAAGAATTTGTTGTTATCAGACTTCTGAAAAGTTTGATTTTCTGTGTTCTGGCTGTGTTTTCTGTTGCTAATATTTAGTTGTCTCTAAACCTGGTTGTTAGAGAAAGCAAGGCGTCTCCACCTATGCCTCCATTTTGGCAGAAGTCTCTGATTTTTGTTTTTAAATAGGTTGTTTCCTTCTTCTGACTGTGCGAGGACATGAAGCATACTCACCTATGTCACCATCTTGGCCAGAACTCCTATTTTTCTTTATATCAATGCATACAGAAAAGGCCGAAAGTACCAAAGACTCAATAGGTCATAGTAGAAAATATTTCACACGTCTTCACAGCACCTCCAGGTTGGTGACAATAATAGGCCCAAACAAACGGACCATGTCCCTGGATCTACACCTCACATTGTAATGTTTTGCTTCTTACACCTCCTGCATGCATACCTGCTTATTAGGAACTCATGGGCTCTGCTCAGTCTTGGTGCTTTGCACTCACATGCAGAAGTTGGCCTTTGTTCACAGATTGATGTGGCCCATTTGGAAAGGGGTCCACTTGTCTGTACTCAGAGTGGACGTGTGGACGAAGCCACAGAAGGTCTGTGATGGGGAGTGAGAAGGAGAAAGAAGTATGACTGCAGCCACTGAAATGGCCATGTTCTCATTGGACTGGTTACTGGCTTGAAAGGGAGGAGAGGCTTCAGGATCCTGAGCAATGGCAGTTTCAATGATTTCCAGAGCAAGAGTGCAGAACCAGAGGTCAGGCCCTTGATTGGGCAGTCTAGGAATGTCCCCCAACTCCTCAGACTTGGCTCATGGACCACATTGGCCCTATCTGCCTCAGGACATGCCTGAGCTGCCCTAGTACAGTTATGGAGATGTTTATGTGTTCACATGTTCCCTGGGAGCCCCTCTTGTCTCATGATATAGTTGGGGGAGTCAGTGAGAGGGCATTGCCTTTGTTACTTGGAAAAGTTGCCATGAACCATGTGGACTGTGCCGACACACCAGCAATATCCAGAGGACAAGGTTGACTGGTGTATTGGAAAAAATGTTGGAGATGGGGCCAGAGTGTTGGTGCCAAGTGGTGGTGTGTGTAGACCCCAGATGGGGGAGTTGCTCCTGAGAAACTGTCTATGGCCAAATATGTCCAATCCATGCCAGTGGAAAAGCAGAAGGTTGGCATGGAGAAAAGTAGCTGAAAGCTCCATAAATGAACCAGGGAATGAACATTTTTGTGAAAGGGATCCAGATAACGTGAGGGGAATGAGAAGGTGTGAAAGCACCTTTGAGGCATAAGCTGCCCAATGCACACCCTGCCTGACATCCACTGGGAAGCTCCCAGTAAGCAGTGGTGGCAGGTTCAGTGGGAGCACACACTCTAGGGGTTAAAGAGAAGGAACAGTTCAGCCATCACTTGGCTTAGAGGGGCCATCACAGATGCATGACCATCCCAGGAGGTAAGCCCAACATAGTCAGAACCCATGTGTGGAACGTGGACCTTCAGGCAGGGCTCAGTGCTTTGTCAGGAGGAGGAGATGGCATTTATTTGCTATTTGGGGAAAGTTTATTCCATAGGGGTTCACTTGTGGTGTGAGAATTTCCTCTTAGGGGTGTGAGTTGAGGGTGAGGATCTTTGTCAGCACTGGGTGGAGGTTTCATACTCATAGATAGTGATGGTCTTTGTCAGCACTGGGTAGAGACTTCAGGTCTTGGACAGAGAATGCTGAGTGGAGCCAGGCTGTGGTGAGAGGGCAAAGCATCAATGTGAGACCTGCCATGGACTCAGGAACCTGAGGAGGCCACCACCACTAGGACCTGAGAACCTGACCGTGACCCAATGGTCCTGGGGGCAGGGATGAGGGAGGACAGTTACATGCCAGTGACAGGATCAGTCTTGGGTTGTGGGTGTTGAGAGACAAGATGTCCTTCAGATTCTTAGCACTTTGCCCTTGAGTTCTGTAAACAATTATTGTGTCCGAGTGGGTGTGCATGTGTGTGTGTGGGAGCAACACATGTATGATGTGAGCCTCACTAAAGCCTGCATTTCGTTCAACCACTAAGAAACAACGGTACTTTTGCAGATGCTTTATTGAAATTAAATTGCATGTGAGGTTTCAACAATTGTCTTGCATTTGTAGACCCAAAGACAAAGAAGGAAACCTAAGCTGTGGCTTCTACCAATGAACAGTCAGTTTCTGGATAATCTCTGAGGTCGTGTGGAAGTTAGTACTGAGCACACCAAAAGCTACTGAATATTGTTTGCTGGAAAACAAAAACAGAGACATCACTTCACCTCACTTGTTCTTATCAAGGATCATCCTGAAGAACAAACATACATCCTCATTGTTTTCCTGGATTGGTCCACACACATTGACAGGAAGCTGGTGTTGGAAGAGAAGCTGAAAGTACCGTATTTGTTCTATAGTTCAAGTGACCATGATTGATCCCAAGTTTGGTGGTGCTGCCCCATGTTGTCCTGACCAAGGTTACTTCCTTTGGTAATTTTTATCTATATATTTCATCTTTTAAAAAAATAATGAAGCCAACAATACGCTGTGTTTTAGTTTTCAGTACTTTAGTAAAAATGAGGGATGTGAGGTTCTGAGTTCCCGCACATCAGAAGTAGAGCCAACAGCCCAATGTGCCCCACCACCCAGCCCTGTGGTCAACAACACATTGCAGATATATGCTCCTTGTTTACCCAAGGATTTAAAGAAAATTCCCATCATCTTGAATTGAAGGGGCTGGTAATTTAAAAATTTTTAAATTACAGTAAACACACATACAAATGTTACTCTTTCACAACTTTCAACGCACAGCTAATTATGCTAATAACATTCAGTTGGCAGCCCACCTGACCTCCAGGACTTTCTCATCTCAATGACCTATAGCTGAAGACCCTCCCCATCAGCCAAATTTTCTTTCTACCCGCCCTGGAAACCACTCTTCCACCTCCCTGTCTAAATGATTGTCTACTCTGAAAAATGAGATATTTGTCTTTTTGTGACTGGCTCATTGTTTTTCTCATAATAACTCAAGGTTCCTCCATGCCATCCCCTGTGTCAGGAATTTCTTAGTGATCTGCAATTTCATCTTTGGTTTCTGGCAGTATGGCAGGGTCACCCTGGAATGTTTCAAACCATATGTTAGGGCAGGGAATGAGCAGTAGAAAACTCTACACAACATCTGTCATATGTTGAAAGACTGCCTCATGTGAAACCACTGATTTCTGTTTTCCCCTCACCCACCACTAAGGGGGAATTCATAGCCATGGTTTCCAAGTATCACTCTGGGGCCTTTAATCCACAGTGAAGGAATCCACACACTGGTGCTGGCACACCTAGGTTGCTTGACAGTGCACTGAAGGTTCTGTTAATAAGAAGGAAGGAATCTTCCTGACAAGCATGACCATCACATGCTTCTGAAAAATTGTCACAAACTGAGAGCATGTGTGTCCTTTCCTGCACTTCAAATGCAGTTAGAGATACCAAAATTACCTGTAGATTTTGGATCTTCTCCAGAGTTTCTCTGCTCTGATGGAGGAAGCATTCCTTCAAGAATGTGAAGGCGTTTTCAGTTTCTTCACCTGGTAAGTACTCTTGTATGTTATTGATGTATTCAGTCGCATTCAAATCAGGATCAATGGTCATATCGACCACATCACTAAAAAGATTGCAGCCAAGACCTTGGAAGAAAACATGCAGATGCAGGCTCAGTGACATAGGGGTGAGCTCTATGTAGGGCCTGACTGTGAGTCTGTTTTTTTACCTCCCCGCAGGGACATACACTCAAAGAAGTGGTGGATCATTTCTGAGTCCTCACTTCTAGGAGACTCAACTGAGGACCTGAAATTTTCTTTTCTTTTCTTTTTTTTTTTTTTTTAAAGATTTTATTTATTTATCTTTAGAGGGGAAAGGAAGGAGAGAGGAAGAGAACTGGCCTGCAACCCAGGCATGTGCCCTGACTGGGAATCGAACCGTGGTTGCTTGGTTCCCAGGCCTGCGCTCAATCCACTGAGCTATACCAGCCAGGGCTTGAAATTTTCTTTTAGCCCTAAAGCATCTGCCTTCTTGTCCTTGCCACCCCTCCCACTCCACACACAGCGCTTAAACGAGAGAAATGGGCTGCTCTTTTTGGGGGTTGGGGAGCAGTTCTTTGCACAGGAGCCCTGAGCATAGCCCTCCTGCAAAGACTGCACAGTCCCTGTGTTCACCTGCATAGCAGTACAGGGGGAGGGCAGTCAGCATGAGGACTGTCACCAGCTTCATAGTTCAGGCAGCTGCTGTGGGCTGGTCACTCTGGCCTGCCAGAAAGAAGGAGCTCAAGTTGGGGATGACTGTTTTGAACACAGCCTTTTATTCCCCTGGTGGCTGCCCTAATCCCTCCCACAGATGACAGGAAGAGTCACAGGGTAAACCTGGCCCTAGGCCAGGAAGGGACTAAGAGAATCTCAGACCCAGACCACGTGCCCTTTGTTCATATATCCTGAGGGGACAGAGCTTTGAAAACCATCAAAGTCTAGGAACTTCGAATAATGGTGAGGATGTTAGATGAAGTTAACATCAAAATGCTTGCAAAATAATAAGGCAAATGACAACACTGTGAGTCTGTATTGCCATCCCTGTTGCTTTATTATTGTTGTGGCCCACATTATGTATTCACCTTTCCCTAATTCTTTCTCCCCAACCCTCTGCTCCTCCTTCTTCACCTTCAACTCTTCCTCCTCCACCACCACCACCATCCTCTCCTCCTCTTCTCCCTGCACCCTGTTACTCCTCTTATTTCTCTTTTACCTCTTGAGGGTACAACACACTTCACATTCAGTCCGTTCCTCCTTATTCTCCCAACACGTGGGCTGAGTGCAATACCACATGCTATGGGAGAGGACAGACTTTTCTCTTTCATAGACTCCAATGCAGGAGCTTCTGAAGGGGAGAATAGAAACAATTTCTCACCTTCTCTGAAAGCTGTTTTTACAAAACACATTTAGTTAAGTCAGTGTTATAAAATTAGTTACAAATTTAGAATTAAGTTTAGTTTTTGTTAGTCCTTGATTGTGTTTGCCCATCTGGCTCAAAAGGTGATGTGAGAAGTATGATTAGAAATCATTGGGGGCAGGGACAGGTAGTGCCGAAAGGTGAGAGGGTTGGAACCTGGGCTTGTGCAGCTGTAGATTTGAACCTTGGATCCAATCCCTAGTCATGACGTGTTCTTGGGCAAGTTATAGTGCTGGTTGTCCAGAGCTTCCTTTTCCCATTTCTAAAGTGGGCACACAGTATCCCATTCCTGGCTTCTTAATGATGCCTGATAATTGATGTAAAGAGCCTATCAAGGCCTTAAAACAGAGTAGTTAGGGCTAAATCGAGGTTTCATTCTTCCATTAGTCCTTCCACTCATCCATCTATCCATCCATTCATTTATCCATTCATCCACCCATCTATATATCTATGCATCATCCACCCATCCATCCATCATCCACCCATTTATATATCCATCCATGCTCCTAACAACCTTGAATCTCCTAGGATGGGCCCTGTGCTGTGTGTCACAGATTCCATTGTAGGAGCAAGTCAAGCAGGACCTTGCACTTGTGCACCTTCCCTCGAACCGGAAGTAACAGACAAGCCTGCAATTGAATAGAAGAGAAAAGGAAAGTGTTTGTGTTAAGAATAACAAAACAACTACTAGGGCAGTAGCATCCTACAAAGAGGACCAGGCAGGCTATCAGATGGGGACATTTTATCTTGTCTGAATGAACACTGTATGTTAGGGGACGTTCTGGGACAAGATGTCTAGGCAGAGGCAACAGCAAGTACACAGGCCATGAGTGCACATGGCACTTTGAAAGCTGAGGGATGCAGTCAATGTGTCCCTCTTGGTGTCAGAGAGGGACAGAACCACTTCCTAGGGCAGAAACAGCACATCAGCCTAAGCAGGGATGGTATGGAGGAACAAGAAAAACAAAGTTGGGGAAGAGTAAGATAAAAGAAATGGGTGAGAGAGCCTGAGAGATGTGTCAAGAGTAAATCACCTGTGGATGCATTGTTCTCTGTTGATATTGTTGGGGACTCATATCTTTCCATCATTCAGCTTATGCGATGTTGCCGAGAACAATATTGATTTAGAAGAACCTGGAAATGGAAAGAAAGTTATGTTCTTATGTGTGTACTTTCTCCCCATTGACCATTGTTGGTGATGTCCATTCCAAAGGCAAGGGAAATTCTTTGGTAAGGAAATGGAGCCTGGTTGAACAGGCCATGGTGAGGGCTCTGTCTGGTGCCCAGTGGTCTGGATGTGCCCTGCTGTCTGCTGCAACACCAGACCCTGAGCAGGGTTCATCCTCAGCAAAAAGAATCCCAAATCCTGTGCAGTGAAGTGTTTGTTTCTTCATCTTCATGTCTTCTGCATAGCCTGCGGTGATCCTTCCTGGTGTGTCAAAGACTATAACTTCACTCACAATAGAAATATGTGAAAGCAAGGGTTGTTAAGCAGCAATAGAAGAGCCCAAAAGGTGTGAATGCTGGTATTGCTGGCCTGCTGTTTTCTCTCCCCAAAGGTATTTTGAGTCAGGCCCAAAATTAGATTCAGAAACTGGAGGAGTCAGGTAGCCTTTGGTTTCTATATTGGTATGATATTTACTGACCACCTGCTATGAAAAACCATGCTGTAGAGGGGAACTACTCAGATTTTATCCTGGATAGCTTGGGTCATGGGGGACAGGTATATGTGCTGTAAGGAAGAATTATATTGGGCCTATCCTCAGGCTCATTGAAGGCCTGAGATATACTCACACTAGTATTTTGTCATGTGAAGTCTTGCACGAATGAATAAAAGTAATAAAATGCAGTGAAACTTATTTTTCCTCAGTGATTCATGCATTGCCACCAAGCCTAAGAAAATTTCTGAAGATGGGATGGCATCAGACTTCTGTTCATTGCAAGCTAGTCCTAGAAACCAGTCCCATACTTTGTGAGCACAGGATACTTCATGCTTTTCTTTTCCACTCATTGTGTAATTCGGTGCTCAAGTTTCATTTTTTTTGCACATAGCTGTCCAGTTCTCCCAACACCATTTGTTAAAAAGGCTATCTTTATTCCATTTTATGTTACTGCCCCCTTTGTCGAATATTAATTGACTGTAGAGAGTTGGGTTGATTTCTGGGCTCTCCGTTCTGTTCCATTGGTCTATGTGCCTGTTTTTATGCCAGTACCAGGCTGTTTTGATTACAGTGGCCTTGTAATACAGTTTGATATCAGGTATTGTGATCCCTCCAACTTTGTTCTTCTTTCTCAAAACTGCAGCTGCTATTCGGGGTCATTTATGGTTCCATATAAATTTTGAAGTGTTTGTTCTATGTCTGTGAAATATGCCATTGGTACTTTAATAGGGATTGCATTGAATCTGTATATTGCTTTGGGTAGTATGGACATTTTGATGATGTTAATTCTTCCAATCCATGAACACGGTATATGTTTCCATTTGTTTGTGTCTTCCTTGATTTCTTTCTTCAGTGCTGTGTAGTTTTCTGCATACAGGTCTTTTACCTCCTTGGTTAGGTTTATTCCCAGATATTTTTTTTTCTGCTATATCGAATGGTATTTTTTCTTGATTTCTGCTTCTGCTGATTCATTATTAGTATACAAAAATGCCTTTGATTTCTGGATATTGACTTTGTAACCCGCTGTTTCACCAAATTTATTTATTAGTTCTAGCAGTTTTTGAGTAGAGTTTATAGGATTTTCCATGTACACTACCATGTCATCTGCAAACAATGACAGTTTTGTTTACTCCTTTCCAAATTGGATGCCTTTTATTTCCTTTTCTTGTGTGATCCCTGTGGCTAAAACTTCCCATACTATGTTGAATAGAAGTGGTGAAAGTGGACATCCTTGTCTTGTCCCTGATCTTAATGGAAAAGATTTTAGTTTTTGGCCATTGAGTATGATGTTGGCTGTAGGTCTCTCATATATGGCCTTTATTATATTGAGGAATGCTCCCTCTACTCCCACTTTGCTGAGTGCCTCTACTCTAAATGGATGTTGTACCTTATCAAAAGCTTTTTCCACATGTATTGATATGATAATATGGTTTTTGTCTTTGGTTTTGTTTACGTGATGTATTACATTTACTGATTTGCAAATATTGAACCATCCTTGCATCCCTGGGATGAATGCCACTTGGTCATGGTGTATGATCTTTTTGATATATTATTGGTTGTGATTTGCCAATATTTTGTCGAGGATTTTAGTGTCTATGTTCATCAGCGATATTGGCCTGAAGTTCTCTTTCTTTGTTGTGTCTCCATCTGGTTTTGGAATTAGGATGATGCTGGCTTCACAAAAAGAATTTGGGAGTTTTCCATCCTTCTAGATTTTTTGGAATAGTCTGTGGAGAATGGGGGTTAGCTCCTTCTTAAATGCTTTGTAGAATTCTCCTGTGAAACCATCTGGCCCGGGGCTTTTGTGTGATGGGAGTTTTTTGATTACTGCTTCAATATCTTTTGCTGTTATTGGTGCATTTAGATTTTCTGCTTCTTTTTCATTGAGCTTTGGAAGATTGTATTTTTCTAGAAAGTGTCCATTTCCCCTAGGTTTTCAAATTTCTTGGCATACAGTTCTTCATAGTAATTTCTTAGTATCCCTTCTATTTCTGTGGTATCAGTTGTAATCTTTCCTCTTTCATTTTTGATTGTGTTTATTTGTGTCCTCTCTCTTCTTTTCTTGATGAGCCTACTTAAAGGCTTGTCTATTTTGTTTATCTTCTCAAAGAACCAACTCCTGGATTCATTGATCCTTAGAATTGTTCTTTTAGTCTCTATGTCATTTAGTTCTGCTCTTATCTTGGTTATTTCCTTCCTTCTACTTGCTCTGGGCTGTTTTTGTTGTTGTTCCTCGAGTTCTTGCAGGCGTAGGGTCACGTTGTTTGTTTGAAATGTTTCTATCTTCTTTAGGTAGGCCTGTATTTCCATAAATTTCCCTCTCAGGACTGCCTTTGCTGTGTCCCATAAGTTTTGGGTTTTTGTGAGATCATTTTCATTTGTTTCCAGAAACATTTTGATTTCTTCCCTAATTTCATTCTTGACCCATTTGTTGTTTAATAGCATACCATTCAGTCTCCATGATTTTGGGTGTTTAGGTTTTTTTCCTTTGGGGTTGGTTTCCAATTTCAGTCCCTTGTGGTGAGAGAAAATGCTTGGTATGATTTCAATTTTCTTGAATTTGTTGAGGCTTGTTTTTGTGTCCTATCATGTGGTCTATCTTTGAGAATG